GCCTCATCTTTCTCCCGCAGAGCAGCTGGTAGTTTCGAACCGCTGACCTTAAGGTTCGCAGCCCGATTCGTAACCACTACGCTACCAGAGCTCCTTAAAGTTTAGAGCCTAGAAAATCCTAAGGACTACTTCTATTCTGTCATTCTGACACATAGGGTCACTATGAGCCAGAATTGACTCAACAAGAGCAGCATGGTAATTTTTAGAGTCCCTGTGTGATGCAAAAGGAGCCCTGGTGGCACCTGTAAGTTAGGTACTGATCTAACTACTAACCAAAAGATCAGTGGTTTGAATTTATCAATTATTCTGTGGGAGAAAGATGAAGCTGTCAGCTCATGAAAAGTTTTATAGTTTCAGAAATTCCGTATACAGTCACTATGCATTGGAATCAACTCCATAGTAGCAACTTTGATTTTGATTTTATGGGTGTCTCAAACAGATAAGCACTCAACTACCAACCAAAAGATTGTAGGTTCAAATCCACCCAAAGGTGACTCATCAAATAGGCCTGGAAATCTGTTTCCAAAAGGTTACCGTTTGAAAATCTTTTGGAGTTCAGTTCCACTTTGCAATTCATTGGGTAATGAGTTGAATTCAATCTGATGTCAACTGGTTTGAATTTTTTTAATAATAATTTTGAGCTAGGGAACATAGTTTGCTTTAGAATTTATGACTTGCTTTTGTAAAAGAGATAAATTCCAAAATGTAACAATTTCAAGTCTAACAAGTCATCACATATGTATTTTTAAGAAAAAGAAAAAACAACTCTTTTATTAGTAAAATGGAAAAATGAATATTTTCACCTTGCATTATCTCAAAATCTACATGATCTCTTTTTCAACTGATGAAACATGGTTAAACACAGAATGAAAACACCTTACCTGAGTAAGGTAGATGGTATCTCTGAACATACGTAATGGATCTGTGCTGTAGGGAAGTTTGAAATGAAGACCAGCCTGATAAAGCATCTCATCATTACCATGTGCATGATGTTGTCGATGAACTGAAAAGTTGCTCCCGAAAGACCAGTCGTTTTTAGATGAGACCTTTTGGATAAAAAATAAAAGTTAAAATGGTGATGCTAGCAGTAAAATTACCTTTCTCTATAATCCTGACAAACACAGAAAGCAATCCACACACTGGAAAAGATGGTGAGATTTGTTCTGTATCTCTAATTTCATAAGCATTTTGCTATCATACTTCTTAGACTCAGCTTGTGCAAAGTTGATTTGGCACCTACACTATTCCTTCTTCAAACCTAAACAGTTAACATTTTGGTGTTTCTCTCAAAAGCCTAGTCTTATGAGAAAGTATGCCTGGGTATTCAAATATTCACTTACATGTATTTTTTTTTTAATGTTATTTTATCTATTTGGGTAAACAATAGTCACAACTTAATAATGAGCTGGACTCAACGTTCTTTAAAATTGTCACAATTCTTGTATCAAGAATTTGTTGTTGACCCTGGGACCATCAAGGGAGAAAAGTGGAGTTCAGGACCCTATCCAGAGAAGCAGTGATGCTAGAGATGGTGGCAGAGACTATGACACGAAGAGATGGAGCAGCTGGGGACTCTAGACTAAAGGAGGTAGAGGGACTTTGTGCTGGCGGCCAGGGCGGGGGTCAGGGAGCACGCTTGCAGCATATGCCCTTTGGTTGTTTGAATGGTTATATATTCCTGAGTGCTTCAGTGTACATAAAAAAAAAAAAAAAAAAAAAAAAAAGAGGGAATGGAAGCAAATGCTGTTGATTGATGATGTATGGAGGGGATTGTAATCATTGCAATGAAATGAAATACAACAGCTTGAATGTAAAGTTGATGTTCTCCAATGTAAACTATCACTCAATTCACAATAAAAACTTATTTAAAAAATCGTTGTTGCTGTTGTTAACTACCATTGAGTATGTTCCAACCTTGCAGCAGTCCAGCACATTAACCCACAGTGCCACACCAGGACTCCTTATGAAGAATAAAATACCACTATTAAGCTGCTCTGGTAGTGTAGTGGTTGCAAGTCCAGCTGCTAACCTCAAGGTCAGCAGTTCAAAATTACCAGCTGTCCCATGGTAGAAAGATGAGGCTTTCTGATCCTGTAAATATTTACAGTGTCAGAAACCCTACAGAGAGTCGCTATGAGTGGGAACCGATTTCATGGCACACCACCAAGACCACTACTACTAAGATGATGTTGTTGTTGTTGTTATGTGCTGTGGAGTCAGTTCCGATGATAGGAGTCCTGATGTGGTGCTGTAGGATAAGCTCTGGATCTCAAAGTTGGTTTGAACTTCAAGGTCAGCAGTTCAAATTCACCAGTCACTCTTTGGAAACTCTATATAGGGTCTCTATGTTGGAACCGACTTCACGGCATACCACCACCACCACCATTAAAATGATAGGAGTCCCAGTGTGATGCTATAGGATAAGCACTGGACCTCCAGGTCAGTTTGAACTCAATGACACTTAACAACAACAACATTAAAATGATAGGAGTCCCAGTGTGATGCTATAGGATAAGCACTGGACCTCCAGGTCAGTTTGAACTCAATGACACTTAACAACAACAACATTAAAATGATAGGAGTCCTGGGGTGGCACTGTAGGATAAACACTGGACTGTAAGGTAGGCAGTTTAAACCCACCAGCCATTCCTTTGAAATCCCATACAGAACTAGCTAATGGCACTTAACAACAATATTAAGATGGTAAATGATTTAGAGATTGCTCTGTTTCTCACAAAAGGACAATATTGCCTGAGAAAAAAGTTGCAAAAAGCTAAGCAAGATTCTCTTGCTAAATGAAATATTTTATGATGGTTGCAAGGCAGGTGGAGGGTAGGGGTGACGGAAAAAAAGTAAAGTGAACAGAGGTAAATACTATAATTGATGGTATATGGAATGGATTGCAATTATTATAATGGCACTAAGTGTATAATTTATTGAATGTGGGACTGATGATCTGATTTGTAAACCTTCACTCAATTTACTATAAAAAGTTGGTTTTTTTTTAAGTTGATAAATGATTTAGAGATTGCTCATCTGAGTCCTGGTGTGGCACTGTGGGCTAATGTGTCAGACAGAGAAGTCATTTGAACTATAAGGTCGGTGGTTCAAGCTCACCAATTGCTCCTTGGAAACCCTATACAGGGTCGCTATGGGTCAGAATCAATTTGATGGCACTTAACAACAACAACAACATCTGCTTCTCACTGATTAGTAAACATAATTGATAAACATATATTTAATTTTGATAAAGTTGAAGACACAAACTAAAAAATAATAGACACTCCTCTTCTTTATGATTCTCTCTTTATCCAGGCAAAATGTATACTGTCTCTCTATTATTCCTTTGAGAATCTATCATCAGCTCAAGGTAAAACAAGCAAAAAAATACCATACTCATTAGAATAATACCTTTAGAGGATACAAAAAAAGAAAAAAAGCAGTAACTCTTGCTTCTATGCCTATGATTAGGGAGTAGGGTGGCTCCATATGTTAAATACTGGACTGCAAACCAGAGGTCAGCAGTTAGAGCCCATCAGTCACTCCTAAGGAGAAAGAAGAGGCTTTCTGCTTCTTTGTTAGCATTTGAGAAAGATACATAAGAAAAATCACAAATTACATCTGAAAACATTCAGAGTTTTGATCCAGTTTATGTACAGACTTTGAAAAAACTTTTTCAAAGTTTTTTGAAAACATTTTTCAAAAAACTGCCTTAGTTCAGAAGAAGAAAATGAAAAATCTTAAAACCTACTTATGAAATATGACTTAAAATTCTCAGTAATCGTGCAGTGCACAAATTACCTTAAAGAGAATGTTACTTGTTAGGAATGTATATGAAAATTGTTGTTGTTGTTGTTGTTGTTAAGTGCCGTTGAGTCAGTTCTGACCCATAGCAACCCTGTACAGGGTTTCC